ATTTTCAGCCCTCCCCCCCCGCAGTTTTTCTCCGTTCCCCCTTCCTTCAGGGCCAAGACATGACACCCTCCCGGTGTTCCCCAACACAATCCCAAATCGAAAGTACAAACTGTCCCCCTCTGCTGTCCTCCTTAGACCTGAACTTCCATCCTCTGAGGTGGGCCTCACTCGGTTCCTCAGTGGAGCCCCCTCCCCCCCAGGCTCTCTCTCATTGGAAGTCTAGATCCTGCCCTTTTATCAAGGCTCCTCACCACCTGAGCTTGCTCCAGCCCAGGAGCAGCTCCTTGTCTCTCCTGGCCTCCTCCCAGACTCATCTACCCAGGTGAGGATCCCAGGGCCAACTCTGGCTTCCTCCCTCACACTTCACCCTCTAGTACCAAGAGCAGAGTCCTTCCCTCTCCCTGCCACTTCCTTCTGCGCCAGACTCCTATAGAACCACCTCTCTCCTCCTCCACCAGGCCTGGGTGTAACCAGGGGGTTTAATTGGCCTCTGAGGCCTCCCTTAATCTTTCCCCACCTGTGTGACCATCGCAGCCCCTTTCTAGGATTACCGCCTGACATTTCTCACGAGGCAGACTGTAGTAACGAGACTCACGCTCCAGCCGAAGGGCCATTCACCTACACGTCAGCTGGACGTCAAAGGGGGCGGGGGCCAGTCTCACCCTGTCAGGCAGAACTGGTGCCTCTGATAGACGCACCCTGTGTCACATTTAGTCCTCGTGACAAAGGGGCTTGCTGGGTCGCCACAGTGTGCCTGTGATTACCTTAGTGTGCTCTTTTGGGACCAGATGGATGGGGGACCAGCCCTTCTGTTTTGCAAAGGCAGATTTCTGTGTCTGCAGCAGCTCATACTCTGCCTGTGATGAGCACCTGAACCTGCTCAGTATCATGGTGATGGGTGGAGAACAACTTCAGTGTGGCCTGCTTTTTGTGTGCTAACCACAGCCTCAAGAATAGTCAGACCTCTTCCCGCCCCCGCCCCCCGATCCCCAAGAGAGCTCAGAGGCACCGGTGAGTCTTATTTGAGGCACAGATGTGTTCACAGACTAAGTGCCTCTGTTTTTCATGCAGGGTGTGATCCTCCTCTTACACAGTGGGTATGTCTGCGCTTGCAGATGGGGCGGGGGCGAGTCCCAGCTCATGAAGACATACTCACGCTAGTTCTCATGGAGCTAACGTGCTAAAAATGCTAGTGTAGCCACAGTGCACAGGCAGCAGTGGTATGGGCTAGCAGCTGCTTCGAGTACAAACCTATCTGAACCCTGTGTGTTGAGGCATCAGGCAACAGTCAGTTAGCGGTCTATCCCTCTGGCGGGCAGAGCAGGGAGCAGACTTTTAGCCTAAGCCTCCTGGCTAAGGCAGCCCACAAACACACAGTCTGGGCCCACAGTCTCCTGGCTGGCGCAAGCCACAAACAAAGCACAGACCTTTTGGCTTAGGGGTGATAGGCTGCCACCCCAGGGGTGGGATTGGTGGCAGTGGGTAGGGTCCCAGCCCAGGGCCCTAACAGTGGCAGATGATTTCACCACTGGGTCAGTGGAGATCCCTCCAAAACATGCTGACTTGGGCTCTAGTAACAAAACCGGACTAAAGTCTGGTTTGCCTAGGGTTACCATACGTCCGGATTTTCCCGGACATGTCCGGCTTTTTGGTCCTCAAATCCCCGTCCAGGAGAAAATCCCAAAAAGCTGGACATGTCCGGGAAAATAGGGAGGGAGGGGTCATGGGGCTTGGGTCCGGGCTGGGGCCGGCGGTGCTCGGCCGGTGCCGGTGCCGGGCTGGAGCCACTCGGCCGGAGCCGGGGCCCGAGCTGAGCTGGGCCGGAGTCGCTGGGACCAGGGCCGGGGGTGCCCGAGCCGCTAGGGCCAGCAGTGCTCGGCCAGAGTTGCTTGGCCAGAACCGGAACCGGAGCCAACAGTGCCCGGGCCATTGGGGCCAGCGGTGCTCGGCCAGGGCCGGTGCTGGAGTTGGGGCAGGGGCGGGGCCCCATGAAGTATCCTCCTTTTTTTAAATTAAAATATGGTAACCCTAGGTTTGCCTGGGCTACTTCCTACCACAGTCCAGGTTGAGGGTTCCGTAGTCCAAGAGTCCTCCATCTTCTTGGGGTACACTGTGGATGGCAGTCCCAGCAGCTCCTCTCCTGGGTTGCTCTCCTCTGGGGGCAGGGTGCTGCAGAGTTCTGCAGCAGTGGAAACATCTGTCTCCTTCCCTGGCTCCCGCTCAACTGAGTTGCAGGGCCCTCCTTTTTTACTTCCTGCCCTGCCCCATATTCCTGGCATGGGGGGCAGGGCTTGCCCAGCTCCACCCACCAGGAGAGTGTAATGGTCCCTTGAGCTCAGGCTCAGAGGGAGGCACTGTGCCTCACTACAGTACATACCCGGACAGCTAGCCTGTACCGCCACTCACTACTGCCTATGCAACTGCAACTACACCTACTATTTTTAGCACCCTAGTTTGATGTGAGCTAGCGTGAGTATGTCTACACAAGCTGGGAATCACACCCCTTGCTCCTTGTAGATGTAGCCGGATGTAGTAGATTAGGAAGAATCCACGTAAAATTGGGATAAGCGAGAGGACAACTAGGCCCCCAGTTTGGCGGCTAAATCTTTAGAACAATGTAGGACCAGCCAGGCTGGATCAGACCCGAGGGTCATCCACACCAGGAGCCTCTCTCCTACCACGGCCAGCATCAGAAGGTGCAAGAGCCCCGCAGTAGCAGATGTGAGATAATCTGTGACCCACCCCAGCTGTGTCTCAACATGGTCTCTGCTAGTTAGCGATTGACGTAAACCCTGCAGTGTGAGGCTTAATACCCCTTCCAGTATTTGTCATCGTTAATTACAATAACTGGATATTCATGGCCTGCATATAAATATCCAGTCCCCTTTACAATCTTGTTAAATTCTTGGTCTGAGTGACTTCCTGCGGCAGTGAGTACTACAGTGTAATCACATGTTGTGTGGGAAAAGTATTTCCTTTTCTGGAGTTTGAATTTCTCACCTTTTAATCTCCTGACTGTCCCCTTGCTCTTGCGTTAGAGGACAGGGAGAACAGAAGTTCCTCATCTCCCTTGTCTAGCCCATTCATTATTTCACAGATTTTTATGATGATTTGTCCCTTTTCTAAGGTAACAATCCCAGCCTTTCCAATCTCTCTTCATGAGAGGTTTTCCAGGCCCCTGGTCATTCTCATCGCCCTGCTCTGAACCCCTCTAGTTCTGCCCTGTCATGTGAGAGATGGGGTGACCAGTGCTGCACGAAGCCACGGCACTGATTGAAGGCATTTTCCATCCCATTCCTTATGCATCCTGATACCGTTAGCTGCTTTGATCGCAGCTGCACCACTGAGCAGAAGTTTCATTGAACTGCCTCCAGTGATGCCCATGGCCCTTCCTCTGCAGACTCTACAGCTCCCAGCAGTGTCCAGAGCAAACCTTAACGGGAAAAGTGTGGGTTGAATTTGTCCTTAAAGAATGCCTCTTATTCCTAACCGATAGGCCTGTACTGGAGTGGTACCAGGTGAGCCATGTCCTGCATGAGCCATTTTTTCTGTGAGGCCCCAAAAGGGAGAGGAGGCCTGGCAGTGGGTTATTGGGTGAGGGAGAGTGAGAAGATGACGGGGGAGCTCTCCCCTGGTGAGCGTGGGGCACTGTGCAGGCTGGATTGTGTTTAGGTGATATGCCCTTTTTAGCACATCCTGAGACGGTTGCAGGAGAGGTGATGCAGTAGAAGCTGAGTTTGGAGGAGTGCCTCACCCCTAATGCCAAGATGCTCCACTATGCCATGTGTGGGGAACTATGAAGAGTGCTCTCCCCTTCTCTATGGCTCGCTGGGAGGCGTGGGTCCCCAAACGTTCTTCTTTTGTAACATGGGATCATGGTATGGGAAAGGCTGAAAGCTGGGCATTGTGATGCTTCACTATTCCACCATCATTTCCCCATCCAGCTTGGGCGCTGCTCCATGCTTTCTGCTAGCAGCATGCACATCAACCAGAGCCACCTGTGTGCATCTGAGGGCAACGTTTCACTTCCCTTTGGAACTCAGGGGCGCAATCTGGGATTTTCTCCTTCCCTCCCCAGGTTTTGTATAAGCACTGCTCTCCTGCATGGGGCTCAATCCTGCTCCCTTTGAAGCCAATTACAAAACTCCCATTGACTTCAATAGAAGCAAGCCCATGGTTTCAGCATCTCTGTGGAAAGGCAAACAAAGCAAATGTAGCCGTGGAATGTGTTTGAAAAATACTGATTTTATTAGACGGGTTGATGTACAGGACCAACAATTTTATCCAAATGCACATTATCATGAACACCTAATTGGGAATATATTACAGCATGTAATTCTTTATAATCTGTCTGTCCAGATTCCTGTTAAAAAAGAAGCACACAACAGTGGGTTTAGGGATGTTGGGTTTTTTAGCAAAATTAAAAGATCTTCAGGCTCCCTGTTTTCATTCCTGATGCATTTCCTGTAACTCAGAGACACATCGCTCATGTCACACTTTATATTTTGTTTCTAATCAAGTTCATTTTGTTTCATAAAACAGAGATAGTCAGATTGATGGTAGGAGCCTGCTGTGTCATCAGACTGTGCCAGATGAGATGGGCTTTGAACTACAGTCCTTCTTAGACTAACAATCATTTGCTGTGGCCATGCAAGTCATTTCAAGTGTCAAGGGGTTTGGGAAGAAAGGCCATCAGAAATGTGTCCGATTCCCAACAAGGGCTGTGGTAGCCAACCAGAGCTAAGAGTGGGCCCAGCTTGATGTGCAGTTAACAAACAAATGCACTTCTTAGGTCCACTGTTTCTTAAGGGTCACCTGATGTCAGGACACGGGGGGGGGTTAAACTTGGAGCGCCAGGAGTGCTTTTAAGAAGAGAATCCTAGTGTAAATTTTCAGATGGGAAGATGGTTATGATCAATTCATGAGCCTCTATGCTGGGCTTTTGAGCCAGTACTATGCTTTTGTCAGTCACATGTTAAAAGGTGAACTCATCTGATTACAGGAGATTTTCTTGAGTATATGCAGAGAACTTCGTTGTCAATGGATGCTTACCCAACAGGACGTCAACCAACAGGCCCAGTACTTGTAGACAACCGTGCTTTACAACCTCCATCCTCCTTAATGCTGCCAACGTTCCTTGGTCTATATTGTGTTGGTAACACCAGCCACACCACAATCATAACCTACACCAACACCCAAAAGGAGAGCAGTAGCTTTATGACCAGCAGGATGCTAGTGAGCTAGAGGGAACTAGGAAGGAAGGACCTGGGTATAGTGAAAAGAGGATGACAAGAAACGGAGGAAAGAAAAGGTAGGAGAAAGATTGAAGAAAAGGGGAAGAGAACATGAACAGGAGAAAGACAAAAAGAAGATGGCAGCACAGCGAAGAGAAATAAAAAGGCAAAGAACGAGCAGGAAGAATAAGGCACAGAGAATTAGAAAAGTTTAACAGACTTATTTGCTTATGGTGACAATAAAACATAATGTGATGGCAGAAGCAGTGGCAAAATTAGCACAGTTCTGACAGTGTTTCTTTTCCATTCGCTCCTAAGAAAACCATGCAAACTAGGCCAAGTGACAGGAGCAGCAGGTAAGCTTAATGGAGGACAATGAGAAGTGAGAAAGAGTGGGTGACCAAGACAAAGAAGGATGAGGAGGAGGAATGGGGCAATGTAAAAGAAAGAGAGGAGAAGAAGAACAGAAGTGAATGGAGGAAGCAGCTCCAAAGCAGTCTGAGACCTCACTCAGTATTGACTCACCAGCATGTCACTTCTCTTTGTGCTATTTCAGATGCCAGTTTCTCTGACACCTCTTCTTGCCTTAATTAGCTGCCCCTGTTCCTTTCAGTGCTGTGCACAAAATCCCTCGGCATGTAACCTGCCCTCTTGCAGTACTCATCGATGTACTTGTTTCTTCTCCGGCACCCAGCCTTTGGGGACTCATTACCCATCGGATGTGTCCTCCAGGGTGACACATTTGGATCAAGTCAAGCACCCATGAAAATGCCCACTAGAACTCACCTGGATTGCTTTAAAAGATCGTTTCTTTTAAACTCAAGGTTTCGGCACCAAGGAAGCTGAATCCCAGACCAATGCTAGATATGTTTGGTTCTCCTGTAGCCACAGCTCCATCTCTATTCACACATGTGGATCAGAGATGTGCTGCCTTTCAGACCCCATGCCATGCTCCCAACAGGCTCTGGTCAGCACCTTCCACTTTCTCATCTGCTCAAGTTTCTTCTTTAAAAAGCCAACATATGGCTTTCTTATTTCCTTTTGTCTTTCTATCTTTGCCTTGCTTTGCTTGGCATTTCATTGAATTCTTGACCCCGGGCAGATAAGGCCCACAGGTATGTTACAGTGAGTACTTCTACTCAGAAGGTTCTCTGAAGACCAGCCACAGCTCTGGTCCATTTGACAGGGAGAATAATGAAGAAAGGCTATTTAGCAGGTCTCGTACACCATCCACCTTCTTCTTCAGTTAGTGCTTAGCTCAACCACCAGCCATGCTGGGTCATTGCAACCAAACAATGCCTGCTTAGTGAAGAGGGCTCCCATACTTCCCCCATGCTTTAGTTGCCATCTACAATGAACTATGTCCACTGAGAGGCTGGCACTGGTTCCAATGGCATCATTTCCTGCAACTCACAATTTTGGGTGTTGGTGTGTTGGGGCAGGTGAACAACATGGCAATGCCAACAAAAAATATGACTGCTTGGCTCAGCCCAAATAAGATAGGGCCCAGACACCTTCGACTTCCTAACCTACAGCTAAAAGATTGGAAGAGAAAACAGGCAACAGCTGTGAAATGGAGGGTGTTCCTGTCTTCCTCCAAACCGCACAACAACGCAGGGATCTGACTCGGAGAAAACATGCAACACTGGCATAAACAAGGTCAAAATGCAAATTGATTAATCCTCTGAGCCTACCAAGGTTTGTGCTTGACTTGCCAACAACTGCATGACGCTAACAGCAAATGCATACACTAAGCTCCCTGCCTCTTCTCAGGCACAGGGACAGACCGATGCTTTTAAAGGCTTTCTTCTGAACTTTCTTGAGTTACAGCCACTGTCTCTCAAATGTAACTTAAGTGCCATTGCTCTTTCAGCTCCAGTCCATTTCTCCTTATGAGCCAGACTTCCAAATCCCACCTGGGACATGCATTTGGTGCTAACAATGCCATATGTTCCCAGAGATTGGACTGAATCCAGTCTAAACACAGACATGGGGTCTTTCTTTCCCTACCCCTGGGGACAGGAGAGGGCTAATACCTGGGTGAATGCTAAAGATTCTGAGTTACAGCTCAACTGTCATCCAAATGGAGTTCACAAAGAACTGAACCTGATGGCCCACGAGTCTTGGAAAGAAAAAAAACAGATTATTATTTATTTATAGGCATTTCTGTGGTCCTCGTGCCTATATACAGCCACCAAAAGCTGACATTTACTCTGCTGGATCTCTCTCTCCCCAGGGGTGACCCTCTCTGGTTCTCCAGGTCAAGGCGTCGGAGCCTTCCTCCAGGTTATCTTTCCAGAGTCTGCGTTTCCTACTCCCTGTCTGCTTAGTGTATGCAAAGGTTGAACTTCTTGTTCCACACTCATGAACTTCAGTACCTGTGAAAAAGCAGCTAAAGCTTTAGTTCACCATTTGTTGCTTTTACTTACAGTTTAAACATTGCTTTCTATTTGAAATAACAAAGATAAAATGTCAGGAATTCACAGTTCTTTATTCTCTTTTCTATGCCCACCCCGCTTCCCCTGCCATTAATGTCAATGACTCAAAGTCCTTGTTGTACAGTAGCTCTTGCCAGTGTGGCACTCAAAGGGTTAATAAACCATGGCTTCTTGGACAGATAAGACATAAGCTCATTCACCAATAGGAACACATGAATGGTTATGTTAGTACATAGCATGTTATGGTTTCCTATAGCGGTTCCTTGGGGTTTCACCACAGCCAGTTGTGTCACAGGAGAGAACACTGGGCTTCTTCCCCAAGCCAATACTCCCCAAGAGATCAGGAAGCTCATGAGTAATGGCCCTTTCGATCTTCTCCAGGTAACATCCTCCCATGTAGGAGCACTGCTGAGCTAGCAGCTTGAAGCTGCTGATGGGATTGATGCCGAAGAAGTCCTTATAAGCCTCGCGGTTGGGGAGATCAAACTTGCTGACATTGGTCTTTGCCAGGATGGACTTGAAGATGTAGAACTTGTCAGGGTCTTCCACAATGTCCTTGAATACCAGCTCCCCGTCACTGAAGAAGGTCATTTTGTCCTTGTAGGTTTGCAGATAGCGGTCGACCAGGAGAGCGTGGATGCGAACCCGGATGGCATGTTGGCGGATGAAGGCAATCTTATTCTCCAGCCTGTTTTCAATCACCTGGTTAAGGTCTTCCAGGAGCGAGATCTCTTCTTTAAGGAATAGATCCTTGTGGGTTTCAGGGTGATATTCTGGGGGCCAGAAGGAACTGACATAGACCCTGGGAGGTTCAGTGACATTGATCAGAGGAGCCAAGCTCCAGAACAAGGCGCCATAGACTCTCATAAGCTCCTGGGTGGCGAGACTGTCCGCTTTGTTCAAGATTATTCTTATCTGAGACTCCCGGCCCTTCAGCTGGCGAAACAGCATCTCCAGCTCCAGCCCCACATCCAGCTTTGTAGGGTCAAAGACGACAAAGATGAGGTCAGCTCTGTCGATGAACCACTGGCACACGTCATTGAATGGGTAACCTTTGGGAGAGGAGAGAGAAAAATCAAACAGAAATGTCCAGCTCCCCACATCTAACACAGGACTGATCCATTCAATCACCAGCATAGATACGACACAAGCCCACCATGTCTCAGACCCCTTCAGACTTAGACTCATGCAGTGGGAAATCTCGTTTCTCAGCTACTAAAGCCATCGCAGAACATCTTGGCACCAATATCCACAATCGGTCTATATTCAGTTGGCACTAGTGCCTTAGCTGGCGTTCTCTGATAAAATCCTGGCCCCAGTAAAGTCAACGGGGGTTTTGCCATTGGGCCAGGATTTCCCCCTGGATTGAAGGTAGATATTGGGAGAGCGGAGGTGGGGATGCTGTGTAATTAATGCACTGATGAGCATATAGGTAAATAACAGATTTTAGTAGACAATTCAAACATTTTATTAATATGATGGTACTGCCTTCTGCCTCTAGGCCCACTCTGACGTACATTCTGCTGCCTCCTAGTGGTTGGGGGTGTGTTTTGCTTCTTCTGGAATTAAATTCCTTCCAAGTCACTTCCAAATTTTCCTTTTCTCTGTAGCCTGCTGTTGATTATCTGTGCTCTGATTGTTTTCTGAGGCCATGTTTTGGTCAGTCCAATGCTGTCTAATGTATCTAGTATATGGGTTGACAAACCCCAGCAGTGCTACCCCAGTTGTGAGATACGTTATCCTGGAAATGCTGGTGTTCCAGCATTCCATCGTGTCCTGGTCTAGCACAGAGACTTGGGCAGGGGCCTGCATCAAAGAACATGATAGAAACATGATAGAAAATGATGGGCAAAGTGCAGCCCATAGGCTAAATACAGCCCAAAGGCCACAAACACCCCCATCTTGCTTAAGTCTCTGAACATTGCCCCTCCATATGAAAGAAGAAGTGTGCTGTATCTGCTCTATTTTATGAATATTGTGTGTGTCCCTGAGGTCCCTGCCAGGTGGCCATTACAAACACAGGTGGGCAAAATTTTGGTGCTTCTGCAATATAAAAATAAACACCCTGCAACACCTCCTCGCTGGCCCTTTGTTGTGTGTGACCTAATGAATACAGCACTCAACTGGGCCTCAGGAGATCTTGGTTCTCTTCCTGGATCAGCCACTGTCGCTTTTTTTTCCCATCTGTAAACAGGGCCGGCTCCAGCATTTCTGCCGCCCCAAGCGCCAAAAAAAAAAAAAAGCCACGATCAGCGGCGGCAGTTCAGCGGCAGGTCCTTTGCTCCTAGAGGGAGTGAGGGACCTGCTGCCCCCGAATTGCCGCAGGTGCTGCCCCTCTCCCTTGGCCGCCCCAAGTACCTGCTTGTTAAGCTGGTGCCTGGAGCTGGCCCTGTCTGTAAAACAGGGAAAATGCTACAGCGCTTTGAGATCTACTGATGAACAGCTTTGTAGAAGAGTAAGGGACTGTTATTATCTCACATTTATAATGCTCCTTCTTTTCTGGTCTCTCTTAAAATGAACAAAGCCGGTTACTACCTCGTTCCTGTTGCTTGCGGTTTTCAATGATGCCCGGTGTGTCTACAAAGGTGACCCGCTCTAAAAGCTTATGAGGCACCTCTATCCCGATCAGCTTCTCCAGGAAGTTCTGCCCAAACTTTTCGAGGGGTGAAAAGGAGCGTGCGCTGTCAGCAGCCATCACGATGCCCTCAATGGTCTTCAGCTTTGGGCCGTGCATGATGACCGTGAACTCAGAGGTGGTGGGTTCAGCCCCTGTCCAGTAACAAGAGAAGCAGAGCAGGTGAGCTGTAAAGTCTAAGCTGTCCTGCTGGAAATGAGTCAGACTCTGTGTCTGAGACTATCTGCAGAGGATACTGCTTACTCATGAATATACAGAGGGTGATCCAAAGCAACAGGTATGGTCAGAGAGCATCTTGCAATATCATGTACCTTATGCCTTGTAGAATGTCTTGAGGAAACGTAGGGCAAGTCTACATTACAAAATTAAGTCAACCTAAGTTAGTTCGATGTACAGCCACCATAGTAATTAAATTGCTTTGCATGTCCACACTACACTCCTTGTGTCAGCGGAGCGCATCTTAACCAGGACTGTCAGTGTGGAGCATTGTGGGACGGCATCTGAAAGGCAGCAAATGTTGATGTAAGTGACGTAGTGTCTACAATGACACTGCATCGACCTAACTACATCAACCTACGGGCTATGCCTCTCACGGAGGTGGAGTTATTAAGTTGGTGTAGTGGGCAGATTACACGGGTGGCAGCTACATTTTAGTGTAGACACTTACAGAGTTAGGTTGATATAGGCTGCCTTATGTCGATCTAACTCTGTAGTGTAGACCAGGTTGTAGCTATTCCATGGATGCACGAGTGCAGTTTTTCCTGCAGTGGTTAATCTACACTGAGATATCACGAATATGCAAAGCACTATAAAGGCCCAACTCCTGCTCTGCTTTCTAGTGCCTTGATTCTCCCTATGCCAGAGCTCAGTACAGTTTTTAATTCAGCAGTGCTACGCTCAGCTGTGTTCAGGGATAAAAGAGAGTGGGAGCTGAGAAGAGGAGATGGGAAATGTCACGCCTGTTGTTAAAGTAAATTAATTGGCTCCATGCATGGTGGGGAAGGATAGAAGAAAAGGGCAAGTTCCCCTTGTTAGAGGATTGTTACTCTGCTGGCCTGGAAGGTGACCTACAGTGCGATGCCCTATCGGGTTGGAAGATCTCAATCCTGAGTCTCTGGACTGCAGGAAGTGGGAATGCTGCGGAGGCAGATGCACAGCTTGATCCTGGGGGGTGAAAGAGGGGAAGAGGAATCTCATCTGTCTCTCTCTGCACCAACTCCTCTGACTCTTACAGGTGCAGGGTTGCAAGGATTCAAGCCCTCCCTAACCAGAGAGATGGCTGTCACCTAACAGCCTGGGGGGTTGCAATGAATAAAAAGAGAGGTTCAAAGAGCAGCTGGGGACAATGTTTACCAGCCAAGCTCTGGCTGGAATTGACTCGAGAAGTGAATGTACGAGTGACAATGCCTGCTTGTACCCTTTGCACAGCACATTAAGCGGAAACAATGGGCAAGCCGGAGCGCACGTTACCTGTGTACAGCTGGTAGGGCGTGTCGTCCAGCCCTAGGAGGTAGTTTATCATGGTGGATTTGCCAACGCTCCATGGTCCCAAGAACAGCACCATTGGCTTGGACGTAATCTCCCCGTCTGCAGAGAGGAAATAACAAAAGGAAGTGAACAAGCACTAGAATTTGAGCTCCCCGCCGTAACGAATGTCCCAGCTGAAGAGTGAGCAAGAGCTGCCCTGTCCCACACCATTAGCTAAATGTTCCGAGTTCAGGGAAATGTTCTAAAGTTCCTTCAGCCGTTTGCAAGAGCAGGGCATAGCGACCGACTTGCGCGGGGCCAGGGTCATGGATACGTGGGTGCACACATGCTACTTATGCTGCTAGGGTTGTGCTTAGCCTTCAGAACCCCTGGTACTGGGACTGAATATGTGGAACAAAACAGTCGGGTCTGTGACTGACCCAGGTGCCCAATGTTAGCTAAGGCTGTGCTGGTGCTAGATAGTCAGGAGACTCCCTCAGTCTGATCATTCGTCTGTGAGATGGAAGAAATGATATGAACTTGATTGCTGCCCTCCTGACTATATCCAGAGTGGAACAAGCCTCACCCTTTGGCTGCCTGATGATGTACAGCCTTACGGCTGGACCTCTGTCCACATGGTGCAGTGGGCAACCCCACCAAATGTGCACTGCTTGTGGCGCACAATAGGGTTAAAGTCCTGATCCAGCTTCCACCGAAGTCAATGGAAAGACGCCCATTGACTACAGTAGGAGCTGGGGCAGACCTCACTCAACAGTGGTTCTGTAGGAGCTTCACACCCGGATGACCACACATGTCCCAGTGGTTACTGTGCTTTAGAATTCTATTAATTGGAGATGGACAAATTTGAGGTAATTCCAGGATCTCCTAGTACCTCAAATTCAAAGCACCACCCAGCCGTAGGTATTTAACCAATTCCACCCCTCCTGGCCATCTTGGATTATTGCATAAAAGTCCCCTCAGGCTGACCCTACCCAAATTATGAAAGGTCTTGAAAGGAACGTTTTTCTACTCTGTTTTGAAGACGTATTTGCTTAGTGAATTTTGAGTTAGTTTTTGCAGGCGTCTTTTTACAGGCAGCAATGCATTCCCAAAAATGTGCATGCCCCCCGCAAAAACCTGCCCTCGTGCATGCCAAGCAGGCCATTGTGACTGCAATTATTTCTTTTATGGAAGCAAATTGGCAATTTGTGTGGACATGGGCAAGTTTTTGCACATGGAACAGATGTGCATGCATTTTTGCAGGTGCCCCTTTTACAGCTTCTTTTAGAACACAAATCAATTGGAGATTTTGCCATGATCCCCATGATACGCATGGGCAAGCCGAGAGGTGCAAGGCCAGGCTCAAAGCTGGGCAGGCTGACACAATGGGGTTGGCAGCCGGGGAACATTACATGCCCCAGCTGGTAGGGGCCAGTAGGAAACTCATCAAGGGCCTGATCGTGCACCATTACAATCAATGGGAGTTTTGCTGTGGACTTTCATGGGATCAGGGCATAAGGGCCTGATCCTGCAGCCCCTTACTCAAGTGAGGAGTACTTCAAGTGAGGCTACTCATGTAACTAGCCCTACTGAAGTCAATGGCAAGGATTACTGAGGTGAAGGTTCTGCAGGATCAAACCTGGAGCCATCTGCTGAGAACCATGGACAACTAACATCCCCAAGGGGCCACAGGGAGTTGCTGTGTTCAGCACATCCCAGGATTCAGACCTGATCCACCTTGCACTTAGAAAGAGACAAGCAAAGGAGGACTGCAGAGTATGCTGCAGAGAACGCTGCGCAAAGAGCCCATGAAGAGACCCCTGGAGAGTGACAACCACAGGACAACCACAGTGAGCGAAAGAGATGTGTGGGAGACATCTCTGCACCAGCGATCAGGCACACGGCCAGCGTAACCCACTCAGTGCACTACTCTGTCACCCTCCAGCGGTGGTTGGGCCACAGACACACAAAGGTTGATGAGCCTACCACAGTTTGGTCCCTCATTGCTGTGTCTCGACTGCCAGAAGCTGGGACTCAACAACAGGAGATGGATCACCTGATGATTGCCCTGTTCTGTTCATTCCCTCTCAGGCATCTGGCACCGCCACTGTCAGAAAACGGGAGACTGGGCTAGATGGACCATTGGCCTGACCCAATATGGCTGTTCTTATGTTAGCTCGGGCATGTTTTGAGAGCTACCCGTCCCAAGTTCAGTCGTGGCTCCTGATGAGCTGCTCAGGGGCGCAGTGTAACACTAACATTTAAAGAATTGTTTCCATGTTCTAAAACTGAAACCATTGCATAGGACGGGAAAGGGAGGGAATAGGCTGAAAACAACCATGTATTTTATCGCATTTACTCTGCATAATAATTTATTATACCTATCACTTTACACTGAGTAACTTAAATCCTATATTATACACTGTATAATAAATTATAGAAACAAAGTAAAACGTATAATTGATACAAACATTTAATACAGGCAGTACGTTCATATGGAAATAATATATTATTGTATCTACAAATAATGTATTATCCATATATAAAGCAAAACATATCGCCAGCAATATGGGTTATACTTTTGCACTAGGGTTAAAAATAAGAATGAATTAATCCCTGCAATCTCTCTGGCTCCGATTTAGGGCAACACTTACACGTCTGCTTAAAATCAGTGGGGCTTAGAGCTGGGTAGGAAGATATCTGAGATTTTCTCATTCTAGGAAGATATCTGAGATTTTTTAAAAAATGGTTTGGATCAACTGAAACATTTTGCTTCAATTTCAACTATTTTTTAATTTTAAAAGTTGGGGGTTTGTTTTTTTACTATAATGAGCTCAAATTTTGAAATTAACATTTGTTTCAAACTGGGAAACCAGAATTTTTGGTTTCAAAAATGTCAAAATGTCCCATTTTGACAATTTCAAAACTTGTTTTTCAACATTTCTTCGAGTCGAGAATTTTGGCCAAACTGACCCTTTCCTGTTTTGATTTTGATTAATCAACATTTTCAACAAGAAAACAGTTACCAAGAAATTCCTGACCAGCTCGAGTGGGATTTAAGCAGGTGCTTCAGTACTTTCCTGGGTAGGACCCTTGTGAGGTAGGGAAATATTCTTATAGATGGGGAAACTGAGGCACAGGGAAGGTACGAGAATGGCACAAGGTTACGTAGAGACTCTGAAGCAGATTCAGGAAGGCAATCCAGATCAACCAGCTCCCAACCCATGGCCTTACCCCCACTATGAGCTGAGAATTCCTATGGCTTCAGTCTGTACAAGACAGCTGAATATTGTATAAAATGGTGCCAACTGGATAATATTTCAAACATACTTTGCATGAGGAAATGGTGTTTGACAGAAATGGGGGGGGGTCTGGGTGGGCTTTGTGTGTGCTGCCAAGAGCCGCAGGGATTTCTGCCATGGTGGGAGAGGCAACTTTACATCACAGCCCCGTCAGGAATCACGTTTTCTCTTTGGCACCACCCCTGAATTGCCTCAGAGGTCCTTTCCCCTGATATTTCCTCTTTTGGCCCCATCCCCCTTTCCAGCTGCTCACCCCTTTCTGAACTCTAGAGGTGAAATCATGCCCCATTGAACTCAATGGGAGCTTTGCCCTTGACTTCAGTGGGGCCATGATTTCACTTAGGTGGCCTTCACCCCCTTTTGCACAACCTGTGAACTCAATATTGGTGCAATTTCAGGCCCTTAGCCATGGAGCTCTGATTCCTAGCATCCCATGTGCAGCATTCACCGAGGCCTGTGATGTTGAGTCTACGGTGTTCCTTGAAGTCAGTTGGAAGGGATGCTGGTGAGCAAAATGAGGAGCTTCTTTCTCTCCCTCCAGCCCTGATGCTGAGCTCTCTGCCTGCACAGTGGTCCCAGCTCAGGGAGTGAGAGGTCAGAAATGGCATATGGTCACCAATCACCAGGGGAAAGTTGTCAGTCCTCAGCATTGTCCCTGTGCTTCCCTCTCCCCCTCTCTGCCCTCAAACCCTCACCTCTCCCTGCATGGGAGCTCAAACAAGAGCTTTAATCTGGAGTGGAGCTTTTCTCTCCTGGGGTTGTCAAAGAGGAAAGAAAACAGCTCTGGTGACAGTGAACATAAGAACAGCCATAATGAGTCAGACAGTATCATCGAACAGCCATCGAGTCCAGTATCCTGTCTTCCGACAGTGGTCAATGCCAAGTACCCCAGAGGAATGAACAGAACAGGTAATCACCCATTTATCCATCCCCTGTCTCCCATTCCCAGCTTCTGGCAAACAGACGCTAGGGCAGTGGTCACCAACCCGTCAATCATGATTGACTGGTTGATCCTGGAGCCTCTGCCAGTCGATTGCGATCTCCGGGCCACTAAAAGTCCGGTGGTACAGCGGGGCTCAGGCAGGTTGCCTGCATACCCTGGCCCCACGCTGCTCCCGGAAACGGCTGGCTGCTGGCACGTCTCTGCGGCCCCGGGGGTGGGTGGGTGAGGTGTCTCCGCATGCTGCCCCCGTCCCCAGCACCGTCCCCACAGCTCCCATTGGCCAGTTTCCGGCCAATGGGAGCTGCGGGGGCAGTGTTTGTGGGCAGCACATGGAGACCAGCTGCCCCCCTTCTCCGCAAGGGCTGCAGAAACATGCCAGCAGATAGCCGCTTCCGGGAATGGCATGGGGCCAGGACAGGCAGGCAGCCTACCTGAGCCCTGCTGTGCCGCCGACCGGGAGCTGCCTGTGGTAAGCGCCTCCGGTCGGAGCCTGCGCCTTGCCCTCCCTCCCGCACGTCAACCCCCTACCCCAGTCCAGAGCCACCTCCTGCATCCAAACTTCCTCCCAGACCGTTCACCTCCACCTGCACCCCAATCCGCTGCACCAGCCTGGAGCCACCTCCTGCACCAAACTCCCTCCCAGAGCCCGCACACCTCACCCCCTCCTCCAGTACCAGGTTTACAATGGCACCAATGGCACCATGGAGCCAGGCCCATGCTCAGAAGGGGCCACGGCCTGCTCTGCTTGCACTGCGCCCCAAGATTTTGCCAGCCCACTGGCTCCTCCCTCCCATCACTTGCTCCTCTCGGCCCCTGGGCCCCACCTGCCGTCTCCTCTCTGCCCCCTGGCCGGACCCCAGTCCACCTCCAGCTCC